ACAGTGGTTGCGGTGTGCGATTGTAATTGAGGGGACGGGTCTGTTCTTAGCGGGGGCGCCAAAAAATTTCGGCACCGTTCAGCTTAGGGTGAAAGGGGCAGTTTGCACTTTTGCTAGTTTTTTTCAACTAACAGATCTGATTTTGATGAAATCTCAACTATTGTGAGCGGAAAGGTAACAGTAAAAGACACTTCGTTACAACTCCTCACGAGGTGGCCCATACAATCAGGGTACTGCGTCGTTGTGTGAAATATATAGGGGGGGTCGTACTTTTCCGCTGGGAAGGGGGGGGTCGTATGTCGGTCTGAGAGAAATTTGCCGCGTTCGGAAACAACTTTTGTACGATTTTCATGATTTTTCCTGTTTCACGTGAACTGTACACCTCCCACCCCTCGCTCGACGGAACATTTCTGGCCAGGATCCTTTTCCGGAGGGGGGGAGGGACACACCACCATTTCACACATCACGATGCTGTACCCTGTGTACAATCTTCGCTGAGCAGTACTGGAATCCCCACCAAGCCGAACTGCAGAAAAAATTCCTTCCAAGCGCCCAGACATTGCAAATTTCAATTGAGTTTTTCGGATACCGAGATCTATCGAATAATTGGAGAGAGCGTAATTTGGTGCCGGACGCTAGGAACATGGCTTTTATGAGGCATATCTCGCTGATCGTTAAGAAAACCTCGTAAGATAGCAAGAATACTAGCCTTTCGACGAGGCCATTTCTTTTTTTCGATGAACATGGCGTCTATCGTGCACCATTTAATCAAATCTCGAGAGGACTGACTCGAGCATCATTTTTATTGGGATTTGAAAAGGGGCCTAAGGGCAACAAGGCTAGCAATATGATATGGATTATGGGTATGCATTATGAATAGCTTTCTTTAGAACAGCTTATACTCCATCAACCTAAAGTGAGTGCATTCACCCATTGGTTTGGGGAGAAGTCTTTACTGAATACGACCCCACCAATTTTCTCCGCCCCTATTTACTCTTTCCCCGTTGCACAACTAACGACCATACTTATACCAACTGTTCTGAGGATTGCAGCCACCGAGTTCGTCGAACGGAAGGAGAGTGAGGGAAGGGTAGTAGAATCTTCGATCAACTAGCAAAAATAGTAGCCTTGCGACGGCGCCAACTAGGAAGTGCGTGTGCAGTGGGCCTGAAACAGAGAAATCGGTCATTAGAATAAAAATTTTACCAGTCGAGCACGACCCTCTTTTGTCGGAGCACCAAATACTGCCTGAGAGTCCTAACGCCCTCCCCCCCCCCAGAAGCCCCAATTGTAGCGTGACGTGGCCGGCGTAACTCATAGTGAAAAAAGTTAGAGGCAACACTGGACTGCATAGCAGAACAGCACTGAAAATAGAATTTGTGGGATTCCAAACCGAGTGGATTTTTTGAAAGCTGCAAGTTGTTCCAATGGAATCATCGACAACACCAGGTCTAGCATGAAAAGATGCCGATAGACTAAAAATCACGTCAACGAGCCATAATCGAGTCTAACGACACATTCTACGGGTGAAAAACGCGGGAACTTACCGGTGAAGGGAGCACACAAAACTGTCAAGAAAGCCCGAAATAAAGTGTCTTTTTTTCTTGGTGCTGATCGTTGACATCGCGCGAGAGCCGAAGAGGCATTCGGAGCGAGACCCGAGGGCCGAGACATAAAGAATGAGAGAAAAGAAAGAGGAAAGAGACGGCAGACACCAACGCGAGCGGCAGGGCCAAGCTTATTGTATGGAAGCCTTTTCCACCTTTTTATGGAAGCATTTCCCAAGAACGAGTGAGCATAGTGGAAATCCAGTGCTTCATTCTCACAGCAACGCGACGACAAGCGCAGATATAGGGCGAAAACATTGGCAGGCTGTATGGGGGCTGGGGAGGGTCACATGCACACTTCCACCCGGAGGGTAACCGAGCGGACGATTTCCCGCGACGTTATGCTTGATCCTGGCGAGCAGATCTATCATGACTCGAAAAAGGCCTTCATTCCTGGATGGGGCCGTCAAGTGATTGTGGGGTGCAGCGGCCAATGGCAGCCTTAATCGCTCACTTCTAAGTGGCCAGTGTGGTGCAGCCCCTGCTATTTTCCACCGGGCTACTAGATGGGGAAGGGATTGTTCCTATGAGGTGGTCCCAGAAACTCAGTGATCTCTGTGTTTCAATGGCACCAGAAATCTCGAAATACCTACTCGAACAAAGGATTTGGGCAGAAATATTGATGACCTTATTTTCGACCATTCGTTGACACCGGCTCATGCTTGGGTCACGAGCTAGAAGGAAGAACGTGGCAGACTTAGAAGAGTGAGATATGTGAAAGGTGAGCTACCATGTAGAAATCTCAGTGTTCCCTATCAACAAATTCGCGTTTCCGCCAAAACAAAACCTACTTTCATACAGTCACGCTGGTGTCCTTAGCACGGTCATTGTGGGACATAGGTGTCAATCTATATGATGGTCCGTGTGGTTTTGACCCAGAGACGCGATAAGTACACTTTCACATTTGAAAGTTCACAGGAACGGGCTGCACGTAGCGGTACCGATGCCATCATACTCCGCGCACTATTACGGTCAATCGACACTTGCGTCGATACCTAACAAGGAGTCGTCGGTCTGTGACTTTCCAACACGTTTGTAGTGCATGATCTAGGGGTACAAGCATGGAATCCACATGGTGAGGTTTATTTTTGCTGAATTGTTTGGACTGCAAAAAGTGAGAATCGATAAATTGATTCTCAGATCAAAGAAGTGGCGATTTAAAAATATCACTCATCTTTCATTCGCCCCGGGTCTAACATTCATACAAGTGTGGTAAAGGACCAGTTGAGAGATAGTATTAGTTTATGGAGGTGACTTTAACTAGATCAGTATATAAAAAAAAGTCGAAGAGGTCAAATCTTATACCAGCGTACTGTGTGGATCTCGGCTACTATCTCACCTACCCATCGTGTCGCGCTACGGTGAATCGAGGACCATTAAGAGGATGTGGGAATTCCGATGATTTCAATGTAGCTCACCACATGCTAGTAAATATACTGATTTTATTATTCTGGCATATATATTTTCATGTCTTATCACAGTTCGCTTCATAAAGATAAACACTTCTCTATACGATAGCAAGCTAGCAGAGAGCTGAATAAAGTAGTCGACATCGTCTTCTTGTCGAATAATTTTTCAGTCTACTTCTTTTCATTCCAATACCGGCTTAGAAAAGAACCCCATCTACGGGTCCTTGCATGACATAACAATCACAGAACCTTTTTTGAAACTCACCACGACCAATCGACCCCCTTGAAGACGTAGTAGACGAAGTCAATACATTGTGATTCCTCTTGATTTTTGTAGAAGGGGAAGAAGTTGTAGCTTTCGTCACGTGGCGGTAACCGTGCGGTTAATATTAACCAGAAGACAAACCGGATTCAGCGAGCAGGAGGCGCTTGGCTGACACAAATTCGAAAACGCCAAGCAGGGACAACTCGCCGGGTGTGAATGCGCCGTAGTTCGCAGCACGAATTTCCTACACTCGTGAATTGTCTTGGACACCCGCTAACATCACAGTCTGAACAAGAAGTAAAGGGTGCAGACAACTAGCGCTTTCACGGCATGGTAAGCGTGCGCTGCGCAGCGCGAGCGGGTGTGACATGGACCTCAGGCATCGCTACTAACCCGTTCTGTGCATTCTGTTCGGAGAAAGTGCAATCTCTACTGATGCGGCCCCCGATCGCAACATGCAGGATCAGGTCTACTGTGGAGTAATACCTTCGCAATTCCTCAGCAAATGATAGTCGTATTACGGGCATGATTTGAGCTACAGCCAGATCATTTTGAAAACTTAACGGTCAGTATGGAATCAGTGATGAAAAATCGCCTTGGCTGCGTCCAATACGCGCTTGCGTTCACGCCTGTGTTTGCGTGATTATGTCAAGCCTTTTTTCCACCATCCTTGTTGGGAGAGGGAATGCCTCAATCATGGCATCTTATCGATTGACGCTAATTTAAAGCGAAAACACAGCATTTAGAAATTGTAACGTATGGCATATTGATGGAAAAAGTCGCCCTGGTTGCGCCCCAATACGCGTCACACGCCCTATCGTTTGCAGAGATCATGATTGCAGTTAATCTTTGACCCTTTGCTGGGAAAGGACAACCGAAACCTCTCCCTTCCTCCCCTTAAACCCTTTCCAATGACTTTCATTTGTATTTGAACAGCGGAAAAGCAGATTCTATCCCAGTTTTCGTTTTTTTCAAGAGATCCATTTCAAACAGGAGCTGGAACAAGGCTTTGGTTTAGTCGGCACGAGAAAGTGCTCCCAACGGACCATTTCGGGATGGAGTGGACCACTCTGGAATGGATGGGGAGGCTGCTTAACTTCGTTACCACTTTACTTCTTGCCTTTATCGATTCGCCCATAGACTAATGACCTAAATTTGAGGAAAGGTCATTGGCTGTGATGATTCTCGTTTCACATTGATCTCGTTGTAACTTCCGTAAAAGTGAAGAGATCATTGAGATGAAAGTTTTATCACATTATTATGCGCACACGAAACACGTATAGGAATGGCTGTGATGATAGAGAGAAAGTGAACATATTTACAAACAAAACATTCAGTTAAGCTTTTCCCCACCTGTCCTCTTTTGGGAGAAGAGGGGAATTGCCCTTAATACGGCACCTACTCGATCGACGCTTAAAGCGAACAACACACTAGCAATGCTAAGCCTGACTTCACCTATCGCTTCAAGATCCGCTGCGTTGTTTGAATTGGCTGATTCGCCGGCTAGTCCTGGTTTCCTTCTGGTCCAACAAGGTACTTCAGACGCAGTCGGTTCACTTGTTGGTACAAATGGAAGCCATTTCGCCATCAGCTCCACAGCGTTTCGCCCCGACGCAAGAGGTGCTTTCAGCGAACTCGTTTGACGGCAGTATCGCTATTGGCTTACGAGATCATGTCAGAAGTTGACCTGTACTTCACTACTGTTACCTCTGTACCCTCCTACCGCCTACATAACGAATCGGTATTGATCACAGAAACTGTTTCACTGAATCGTGTCCTTTTCGCGGAGTCGATGGATGACGTTTTCCGCAGTGGCTCACCACCTGTGACTTGAGCATCTCCATCAGACTTCTGCTGGTCCTTGGCCTCCTTCGTATCGCTACCCGTCGAAGCACCACCGTCAGTTCGTACCGAAAACTGACTTTCCCGTCGTGCCTCGATATAGGAGACTACGGTAGAGAACTTTGTCCGAGCAGAATCCTTCCGTTGTACGTATCCGTCACGGAACTCCAATTCCATATCTTCTGAGTTCATTTGACTTCGTTTCTTTGACATTGGGAACGAAGAAAGAAAATCGTCGGGCAGTTTTCCTAAACATAACCAGCTTGACGTAAATCATCATGCAGACGCTTAATCAATGACATGTTCCTATTAGCGATTCCCTGGCGCCGATTTCACCCTACTACCACCGAAGTGAAACCCAGGGTCGCGTTTCCCCTGGGTGGCCTACGGTGCAGGACTTTTCTCGCACCTACTGAAAAACTACAGAAATGGGGGAAGTTTGGCGACGGGGGGGGGCATTTTGCACTTTCGCTTGCTTCACTAGTTCCGGTTTACAAGTCTCACTCTGGTGAAACCTGTGAACTCTTGTGAAGTGGAGCAAGCTCGTCCAGCCACCATGATAGAACTGTGTTAGCTCTTGTAATCTCACGACAATGGGACGGATGGCAGGGCACAGCGTTCGATGGGGATTCCCTATGGGGGGGTCGTATGAGGCCGCCAAAAGGGGGGGGTCGTATTTGGGCTGGGAAAAATTTATTTTTATAGTTGATTTTTCTCGCTTTGCGGACGTTTTGGAGGGGGGGGTCGTACCAGCCCCTGAAAAAAGGGGGTCGTAAAAGCTCGACCAAAATCCCCATCGAATGCTGGCGTGCGGCTGTTGGATGGGTCGACACTTTCGATTGGAAGTAGCAAAGGTGGCAAAATGCCCCCCACCCCCATCCCCGTCGCTAAACTGTCCTTAGAAATGGTGTCATCCGCCGTCAACTAACAACAGGTGGTTTTCACAGGAGTCCAAAACAAGAAACTTGAGTCCACCATCATCGCTTTTAGCCATAACATTTTTCAGCGATTGAGTGGGAGTTCAGGGAATGGCTGGGGTTGATGAGATCGATCAATTATGGACTAAGGCCTAGCAGAGTCACGCCATGATCCACACCCAAATTGTCGTCTGTCTCAGCGCAGTCTATTGCAGTCAGCGATCGTATAATCGCAACGCTTACGACACTTTGTGTGAATGGGAATCTCAGATCGCCCTTGAAAGATTGCTAGCGCACAAATGCAGGAAGTTAAGCGGGGAAATCGTTCAGACCTAGCCTATTCCCATAAGAGAAACGAGGGGGCACCTTCGGCGACGGGGGGGCATTTTGCACTTTCGTTGCTTCCCATCGACGTGTGACCCATCTAGAGAGCCTTTTCTTGAGTTGACAGGTTTTACCATGGTGGCCTACGAGCTTGCTCCAGCTTCACAAGAGTTCACAGGTTTCACCAGAGTGAGACTTGTAAACCGGAACTAGTGAAGCAGCGAAAGTGCAAAATGCCCCCCCCCCCTCCCCCGTGGTCGAAATGCGCCTAAACGAGTTACAGACTAACCTCGAGAGTCTTTCGGCCCACAGCAACAGGTACACATGATGAGAGCACAGAGTATGATCGGAATCATGGCGATCGAGAGCGGAATGAGCAACATCTCGACCTGGAATCGAGTGCACGCCCGAAACTCGACCTCGGCTTCTCGTTTCCGTCGGTGATTCATCTGCTGGACCTCTTCGAGTAGGTCCATCGTGTCCGTACTGAAAAATATTTTTTCAGAAAGGTCTCAAGCAATTAGTGGCTTCAAATCCTGGCGATATGAATCGCGCGCGGCCTGATAATGATCATCATCATCACGCGAGCGGTCGGCCGACCACATTGGGACGTTTTTCTATGTTCGGTTCTCTTCGTCTCCCATGTTCCTCTTTCTCCAGGGGTTTTTCTAGCATTTCCGTTGCGAGCGCAATTTTATGAGCGCGGTCATCAACTCGTAAAAGGTCAATGTTCTTACAATGATTAATCGTATCCTTATATAGTTACTCGGAAGTAGCCGTAAGGTTTTCTATGGCGGTATCGACTTCAAAGGGTGAAAAATGTTGTCAATCTATTTTCAAGTGTTAAAAGTAATTGAGATGGTGTGACCGATGTGATGGCTCCACTAGCATTGAACCAAGGGAAAAGTGCTGTGAATTGGGATGAGATTAGGAGGCGAGCGGCCACGAGCGGACACCGCGCGCACACGGCTCCGTCTCTACGGCGATGGCGCCCCGATGGCGAGGTGATCCGTCTTCGTTCGCCATCATGCACTCATCTGACACCGTACGGCTGATAACGGAAGTCCTTCCGTTGTCATTTGTGCACCACCGGGCGACGAACTCAAGGTCCCAAGCAGAAATCGACAACCGATTCTCGAGCGCGGCTTTTGTTCGTTTGGATAAGAGTCCATCCGATTCTCTTGACGATGGGCAGATGCAATCGGGGCCGGAAATGATGGGGATTCGAGACTTTTATCCCACACATTACGTGATCCATCAATTAAAAATCCATCTTCAGCTGAATGGGCTGATTGTGACGAACTGGAAAACACGTTTTCAAGGGACAACCCAGCTAGGCCTCTGACTTTTACAGTGTAAACTACTCGATCTCTACCTGTCACGGGTAAAAATAGTAAGGCTAAAGGGAATGTGATGTGGCCTGATTGTGTAGTGATGAGACGATGATTGGTTGTTAGCAGTGTGTGACAAAGCAGGCTTGTTTCTCTCTATCCAGTTTGTAGACGGGATCAGGTCTCGAAGCGCTGTAGCGATGTTACAATTCACTTACACACACGCGCCCGAACACATTCAGCTGGTTCGGGGCCAGACGAAGGCAACAGTGAGTGCCCTAAAACTGTCGGGAATCGCGCTTCGCAGTGTCTATTAAGGAAGCTGGAATTCCCCCCCCCCTCCTCCGCTCAGTATTCTCCTTTGGCTCTTCAAAGCAGGAAGAAGTGGTCCGCAAAATGCTTCCGTGCATTTTGCGTTGTTGTCCGCATCCGCAGAGGCTACACCTTTTCCATTACTCAAAACGGCGAGATAAAGAAGTTAGAGACGCGTGAATATTGCAACCATTGCAACCACGATTACTTTCACTCTGCAAGACAACGGCTTACAAGCGGAATGCGTGTGTACATAGCGTTGCCTGGAGCGTCGTAGGGTGATTTCCTGTGCTCTTGCCGGGAATCGGTTGCACATCGAATCCTGCTGATTGGGCTTGTCCAACGCCCGACAAACTCATTCGACGCGTCGGTCCCACTACTAGGAGAGGGTTCTTCAGGGTGTTTCCAGGGTTTTTTTTACTTCTTTCTCTACTGTGGAGTTAGTTATGGGCTACTGGTTCATGCTTGATCACCTACTACCCGTGAAGACTGGACCGCGGGAATCGTTTTTAAGACGAATTTCTCACCTATTTATGCTCGTAGAGTTTTGGTAGCAGTGTTTGGTGCAGGATCGACAAATTGGTGACGATTTAGTGACGTGCCATGCCATGACCACCAATGCACCTACTAGTAACAATTTTCCCATACCTGAAATTGATGTGATTAGTGACGTTGGAACTTTTTCTATGCTAAAAAGATGATCGGTAGAACGTGAGCGATAAGTACAAGAAGAAAAGGTGGAAGAGGTAATTGACAAAGAGTAAATGCTGAGCAGGTGAGATGTGGCGTTTTCTCATTGAGCGGAAGGTGCAGGGGGGTCTGTTGAACCCCATCAATCTCTGTTGCAAACTGAGCGAAAAATCGGCGCAAGGACGCAGACTATTAGAGAAAATTTGCGATAAAGTTCAAACTCGTGGAGACGACACGTCAGCTGAAGATGAAGATGTTTTACCGATTTATTTACAGTCTCTTTGACAAAAACCTAGTTGCGTAAGGTGCCTTAAAGGAAAAGAATTCTAGTTACTTGCCTAGGGATGGGATGACACGTGAAGAGCAGGTTACGGCAGCAATTCGAACTCACATCTACCTAATACACCATGAAAAGGTCGAATTTCGGACGAGTTCTATTAGTTAAAATGGCACATCAGCACGTTGGAACTACACATTACATATACCACGGAAAAACGATCGAATTCCATCGATTACAAAGTGAAAATCAAGTGTGACTGCGAATGAAAACAGCTGTTCCCTGGCAAATGTATAAGGAATCTTTGCCTGGGAAAATTCGCATGCGGCTTATATCATTCCTGTTGACAAGCGGTTTTTGCGGAGCTTGAGGAGTGGACAGGGATCTTCAAAAGAAATTGCGAGCAGTACAGTAAAAAAGGCTTGCAGGGCGGGTGCCAACCAGTATAATCACTCTGAGAAAATGAGCACATTTAGCGCGAGATATATCCCAGAGAAAAGAGCTGCGCTGGACCACAGGTAGTGCATAGCTATTGCTCATATTCTATCCACTTCTCCCATATCGAGATTAGTGGCAAATTAGCTCTGAGAAAATAAGCAACTTTAGCGCAAGGTACGTCGCAGAAAAGGAAAAAAAGGTCGAATATAAGAGC